TCTCTGCTGAAGTGTGGACCTCTCCATCCACACAGCCCTAGCACTGAGCGCCGGGCCTCCTCGGTTCTCACTCCGCTGAGCCTGCCAGCTCTCGGAACAGCCTGAGTTACCAATGGAGACTCTGAGGCTTCAGCTTCTGCTTCTTGCCAGTCCTTGTTCTGGGGTGAGCACTGTCCTCCCCCTGCAGCACTGGCAGCAGTGAGCCAGGCTCAGGCTGAATGTCTCCCGACTGGGCTGTCCCTGGGCTTTGGACGTGAGTGTAAAACAAGCAAACCCTGAGCCCACAAGGACAGGCTGGCATGCACCAGCACGCTGCACGGTCTGTCCCGCCCCCTGTGCTGCAGCCTCCTGCCCAGAGCCTGGGGCCCCCCTCCCGTTGCCCTCTGGGCTGGTGTGTTTTCTGTCCAGGTGGGAGCCATTGTGGGGCTCCTCCTCTCCCTTCGCGCCTCTGGGAGCCAGCCTCAGCAGGAAATGCCGGACTGTGTGGTGTGGGTGAGGTGGCTCTGGGCTCCAGGCCCCATGGGCAGTGCCGGCTGGATGGCTGTGCTGCGGCCTTCTTAGCCTCCCTTTCCTCATCGGGAGAGCAGCAGTGTGTACCCTTGAGCAGCTGGGGACCGCGTAGGCCACGGAGCTGACACATTGGTGGACATTCCAGGCCCCTGCCCTGGCCCGGTGGCTTGGCCATCCGTAGCGGGAGGGGACTACAGGAAGGAAAGCACCCTAGCCTTCGTGACCCCCTGGCCTTGGCCTCAGCAAGTGGGGAGTTTGCCCCCGTGGGATGTGCGTGCGACACAGGGGTCCCCAGGAGGGTCTGGTTGATGGTAGCCTCTGTTCCTGAGGAGGCCGGCCTAGGGCTGGTGGCAGGAACCAGGCCCCCTGTTGGGGAGGCAGGCCTTGCACCGAGCACCAGAACTGCCTTCTGGAGCCTTCTGCTGCCCAGTAGGATGGGTGCTCAGTGAGTATGTGCTGAGGGAGCCGATGTGGCATGGCCTGGGAAGGACAGAGGGGGAGCAGACTGGATTTGGGGAAGTCTTGGTCTCTGTGGATCCCTCATCTGGCCAGGGATCAGCTTATCTCTCACCTGAGAGGAGATGGTGTCTCTGTTTCTGGGTATCCTGCCAAAAAAGCAGATCTCCTGCCCAACCACATTCCCTGGACCCCTGGAAGGTCAGCAGCAGTGTTGGGCAGTCTTGTCGGCCTAGGGCCTGGCCCACCAGGTGCTTGGGGTGTGAGGGTGCCTGGTCTGGCCCCACATCTGCTCTGTCGGTGACCGTTGCCAGCCTTGCTTTGTGGACGAGGACACAGGCTGGGAGAAGTCATTCTGGGGAGGGGTTCAAGCCCTGCTTGGTGGGCACCAAAGCCCCTATACTGGGCATATGTCATGTAGCCAGAGGCCCCCAGGGGTGGAGAAGTGGGGGTACTTGAGGCAAGAAATGAGCGTCCTGGGCTGGATGCCATGGGGAGTAAGGGGCACCCAGCTAGCCAGGGATGCAGTAGCTCATGCTCTAGAAAGTACTCAGTGCCTGCTTCGTGCTGGACACACTGTGGGGGGTGGACATGAGGAGTGACCGTCCTCTGGAGCCGATGCTGAGGGAGGGACAGGTGGTCCCCAGACAGACTGAAATGCTCAGGTGCGGGGTATGAAGGGAGGGGCAGACTCTCCCGGGAGCTGGGAGAGGGGTCCTGCGTGTGGTTGGAGGGCTGTGGGTGCGATGGGTCACCTCTGGGTGCAATTCCCAGCGCTATGGGAATGTGGCTCAGAATGGGGCCATCAGTGGCCGGGGATCCTGGGGTGCTCAAGGGTCCAGACCCCGAGGGGCCGGAAGGGAAGGTGTAGCCCGGCTTCGAGCAGGATGGTTTGAGAGCACACTCCCCCTTTCCAACATGACTGCGCTGACAGTGTTCGCAACAGAACCCCAGTGACCAAGTGCCCCTGGAGTATCCCTGCCCACCAGCCGTGCCAGATGGTCCTGGGGACATCCTGCACCAGAACTGTCCACCCCATTCTTCACATGAGGAAGCTGAGGCTCAGAGTGGGCCACAAGTTTAGAAGAGGGGATTGAGCCAGGCCTGTCCCCAAGGAAGCCTGTGCAGTAACCACTGTGCTATTCTTGCCCACCCAGGTCCTGAGGCTGGAGCAGCCCCTTCATGGGGAACCACAGGGGCAGGAAGCCCTGAGCATCTCTCTTGGGGCTAGCGCTTTGGGGCAAGGCTGACGAGAGGCAGGCTGCCTCCGCGGGCACGGGCCAGGAACTCGGGGCACACATCAGTGCTCTGGGACATTTTTTCTTAATCAGTTAAAAGGCACAGACTTGTTTAAGTTCTGATGAACCGAAGCGTGAATCCTGAGCACCTCTGCTGGCTTGTGGTTTGAGGCAGGAGAGTGGTTCATGCCAGTGACGATGCCAGCGTGGTTCCCCCCAGACCTAGCCTGCCCCTCACCACAGCCCACAGTGGACCTTGTCCCTCACACAGGGACCTTGGCCCGGGGCTCCCGCCATCCTCCCTCCTGCCTGCATGCTGCTCCTTCCTGGCCAGGCTCCAGCTCCCTCCTGGGGAGCCTCCCTCTCCGGGACTCTGCTGGAGGGAGCTCTGCCCTGGGTATGAGCCCAGGGGTACCCCCGACTCTGTGAGGGCCCCTAGCTCTGCTCTGCACTCTGCCCAGCTTGGGAATGTTTGCTGGAGGCAGAGATGCCAGGCCAGGGAGAGGAAAGCTCCGGGGTGCTGTGTGACTGGGGCAGCGTCCAGGGATGTGAGGGCCTCATGAGTCTTCTTTGGGGACAGAGCTTGAGGGCCAAGTGTCTCAGAGTAGAAGCCCCACCCCCACCCCCATCCTGACCCAGAAGCCCAGGCCCCAGGGTGGGCAGCCATGCATGTGGGTCTCTTTCTGCACTTCCCTTAATTTCCTCTGCGCTTGGACACAGGAGTGACTGGACGCTTCCTGCCTCTATCCTGGGCAGCCCTGAGACCCTGGGGGCCTTCTGGACCCCAGCACACCGCTGTCTTTCTGGGGACACTGGCAGGCTCCAATGCGTCCAGTTCATCTCTGTTTTGCAGTTAGCAGTCTTGAATATCTGCTCATTGCCGGCCACCCCTCATCTCACCGAGGAGGGATCCTGGGCCATGGATGGGCCTTGGTGGTGGCCACACTGGACATCAGTTCTTGTTCAGGGTCAGATTAACTCTAAGTACACTCTGGCTCTGAGGGATGGCCTAGGCAAGGGCTAGTTACAGCCACGCGAGGGGCATGGGCGTGTGTGTAGACGTGATTCTGAAGCCATCTGTCCCATCTATCCATCTGGGCCCTGCATGGGTCAGGCACCAGCCTGGCTCTGGGGATTCAGCGGGACCCAGGCCAGTGGGGAGTGCTGGGGTATCCGTGTGATACTCTGGTGTATCAGGCTGTGCCACTGACGGAGATTTCAGAGAAGGGTGTGAGGTTCTAGATGGTTCTGTTTTCCAAGGATGAGGGAACATTTTGGAGAGGATTTAGTTTGCAGGTAGAAGAGATTGGCAGGTACTGGGAATGGGGCATGATTGATGGGCCTATGTGGCAGGCCCAGAGTTAAGCGCCCAGGGCTGGAAGCAGGAGCCAGACCCCATAAACCTGTCCAGGGAACCAGGCTGACCCCTGCTTCATGGTGGAAATGTGCTACGGGGGGGCTGGCCAGGGGTGTGAACCAGAGGCAGGAGGAGGGCTCAGCAAGTGTGATGGGTGTGAGCTGGGTGTGGCACCCAATCCCGTGCTTGGGAGGGTAGGAGGTGGTGGGCCAGGCCTGCAGGAGGTGTGCACAGCCAAGGAGGCCAGCTCAGGTTTTCTCCGTCCAACTGGATGCCCATGCATGGCGGGGGCTGCCCACAGAACCGGTCTCTCCCCGCAGGATATGCTCGGGCTTCAAGTGAAGTTGGCCCAGGGAAAGGACTTTGGAGAGTCCCTGTGTGTGATAGTTTCCTAAGGCTGTCCTAACCCAGCACCACCCCCTGGGGGCTTAAAACAATAGACATTCACTCTCTGAGTCCTGGAAGGCAGAAATCCAAAATCCAGGGGTCAGCATGGCCATGCTCCCTCCGGAGGCTCTAGAGAAGGATCCTTTCTTCCTTGCCTTTTCCAGCTTCTGGTGGTTGCAGAAATCCTTGGCTTCTCTGGTTTGGGGCCACGTCACTCCAATCTGTGCCTCTGTCTCTTCTTTCTCTCGTAATCCAATCCTTGTCATTGGATTTAGGGCCCATCTGGCCAGTCCAGGATGAGATCCCTAACTACATGTGCAAAGGTCCCTTTTCCAAATGAGGTCACATTTGTAGTATCTGGGGACTAGGACTGAGACATAGTCACCAGGGACACTGGGTGACTCTGGGTGGGCCCTGTCCTCTACATCACCCGCTCCCTCTGCCCAGTCCCACCCTTGCAGCCCTGCTCTGGAAGGCAGCCTCTAGCCTCAAGTATGGAGAGAAGAGTGAGGCTCAGAGAAAGAAGGGAAGTTGTGTCCAAGGGTCCTAGAGCTGGCTCTAGGTGGACCGAGGCCCTGCGGGAGGGGCTGATACAAAACATCTTATTTTGAGAACTTGATGCTTTTCTCCATCGTGGGTGCCAGCCACCCCTCCCTGGGCCCAGGCCCTCCCCAGAGCCCAACAGGCCCTTCTCAGCACCTTCAGTGCCTGAGCTGCCCCTGAAGGTGGCAGATGGGCACCGGGTTGGGCACAGGGGCCCGGGGTGCCTGAGGGAGACCCGGGGCTGGCGTTCCCAGGGACATGGTTCCATTCCTCACCCCTCCGTTCTCTGGCCATCAGCCTGGCCGGTCTCAGCATCTCTGAATGGCAGTGTTCTCACGGTCAGCGCAGGTTACAATAGGACCAGCTTCGTGGGCTGTGGGCACACGGGTGAGGAAAACTCCGTGCCCAGCTGCAGAGGTCACGCTGTGCTAGGTGTTCGCCTTGCTCCTGAGGAGGCTGCAGACCCCAGGAACTCAGAGTGAAATCTCTCTGTCTTGCTTTCTTTTCAGGCTGACCCTTGGCCCCTGCTGGCCCTGCTGGCTGGCTCCCACCCACCCTGGTAAGTGCCCTACGTTCGGTGTGGTGGGGTGGTCCCCAAGCCTGGCAGTTTGACGCACCTGCCCTTGGGGCAGGGGGAGGAGCCGCAGCTGGGGGAGGGTGGGCTAGAGACCACAGCCGTGCTCCAGCCTCACGCCTTTTGCTGCTGGGATCCTGGCGTGGGATCATTTCCATGGCTATCTCCAGCACACCGTAAAAGGTCTCGGAGCTGCCATTATTGGAGGGTCCTCTGTTTTCAGGAATATAAATGGCAGTGTTCTTCGCTGCAAGGATAAAGTGATGCCTCAGGAGGTAGGAGGGCACATGAAGAAGCTGAGGCCCAGAGAAGAGCGGCCTGCAGAGGTCACATAGCAGCCCAGGACTCCTGACCTCCACCTCCCAGAGGGAGACAAAGGTTGGAGAAGGGGCCAGCATGGGTCTGACCCCTGATGGGGATCCTATTCCCCTCATGGCCCTCTGCCCCCCCCCCCCCACCTCTGCTGTTGTTTAGGCGCGTGGGGGGGACCCTCCAGGGCGCAAGGGTGGGGGAGCTCTGGCTGCTGCCTTGACCTCAGGCCTCTTCATCCATCCACCTGTCTGTCCGTGAGGGGCGGTGCATCCTGGGGAGTGTTGGCTGGCTCCCGGTCCTCGTCTTGGCAGCTTCTCACCCCCACGCCTGTACCCCAGCCTCGCTGGGCCTCGGTCACCCTGTTGCCCCTGGATTCCTCCCCACCCTGTGATGTTGCCCTGAACCCCTGTCCTGTCTTTGACTTCCTCACCCCGGCCCCTCCCAGCAAACTCTGCCTCCCTCTGTCAGATCCAGCCCCCTCCCCTGGAGGCCTCCCCAGTCTAGTGCCTGCTGGGCCCTGCCGCCTTCTGTTGACCCCATAGCATGGCCCTTGAGGCCGAGGCCCCCACCCTGGCCCAGAACTGCCCATTGGCTTGTCCTGGCCGGATCATGGCCCAGGAGCTCCTCACCTGCTATTTTATCTCAACCCTCAGCACCCATTTCACAGATGAAGAAACTAAGGTTCAGAGGTACTAAGTAAGTTGAGGCCACAGAGCTGGCACAGGACAAAGGTAGGCTGAGTGTCCAGCTTTAGCTCGCTCTGGGGCCCTCTATCCACCCTGGGCACACTGCAAAGAGGAAGAGGGGGCAGAAACCCCCCTCTAACCCTCCCCCTTGCTACCTGTCTGTCTGTTGGTGTCTGTCTGTCATGGCCAACTTTCTGCCAAAAGCACAGTCTGCCCTTAGCCACCAAAGGGCATCGAGGCTGGCCTAGGCGTGGGGAGGCCAGGGCAGCCATGCCTATCCTGAGGAGAGCTCAGACACAAAGGTCAAGCCCCCCGTCCTCTAAGAGACAGCAGGTGGTCTGTGACCCCAGATAGGCCCCCAGGTAGCACGAGGACTTTGGCAGATGTCTGGGGCGGTGGACGCTGTGGGAGATGGAGGTCCCCCGGCCTGGGAGCTGCCCTCCAGTGCCCTGACTACAAGTATGTGAGACGGCTAGGTGCCCCAGGAAACTTGGTGGACAAGACCATCAGCAACTCCCGGGGACCCTGTGGTCTGTGGCCTCTCTGACCCTCAAATCCTGCTGTGGGGGGGGGGGTGGTCCCAGAGTGCTCCTTCCTTTGGTTGGGCCTGTCCTCTGTGGGAGAAGACACAAGCTCAGGAGAAGAGAGCCAGGGGATGTGGGGGCTCAGCACCGAACAGCCTGGGCTTGAATCCCTGCTCCCCAACTTTTTGGCTGTGGATCTGGGCAGGAGAGGCACCCAACCCTTGTGGGGCAGCGTAGGCTGGGGAGGGGACGCATTCTGAGTGGGACCTGGGGCAGGACCGGACAGTGGCAAGAGCATGCTCTGATAGTCGTCAAGCCTGGTGTTGAGAGTGATGATTGCCAGAGGCAGTGAGCCCAGCTCTGTCACAGAGGCCATGCCTGGCTGGGGGAGACGGGGAGGCCTGTGGTAGAGGAGGGAGGGAGGGTGGCAGGCAAATGCCTGGGCCAAGGCTGGGAACCTGGTCCCTTGGTCTCTTGGTCCCTTGGTGTCAAAGGTCAGAGAGGTGGAGGTAGTGAGTTCCCAGTGTTGGGTGTAAGCATCAGCTTCGTGAGGGGAAGGGGCTTCTGGGGCCAAGGAGACACAGTGTGACAGCCCATGGCTGGGAAGGGGCTTTGGTCGTTTCCTGGAGAGAAGCCAAGTATGCAGAGGTGGCCACAGGAAGTGTGTGGGGGGCATCAGCAGGGAGCTTCCTCCCAGGGGACAAAGCTGGTCTTGCCCCGGGGCCTGGAGAGCTGTGGTCTCCGGCTGCAGTAGGGCATGGGGGCAGTGCTGGCTAAAATCCAGCAGGCCTAACAGTGCTGATGGGTGCAGCCCTGGGTCTCACTTCGGCCTCAGGACCTGGGAGGGTAGAAAGCAGGAAGTGCTGGCTAGCTGGGGCTGCCCAGGGACCCGGCAACAGGAAGTCTCTGGAGGGGAGGAAGCCTGGCGGCCACAGGCCCCAGATGCAGCCGGCGGCTGTCAGCAGGAGGGAGCTGTGGACGCAGTTGCCTGGGCAGCACCCAGGACAATGCCGGGGCATCAGGCCTTCCCCGCCTGGGGGACGTGGGCTGTAGGTCCTCCCTGTAGCCCCTGAGCCACATGGCCTCCCTGGGCCTCAGGACACCTGCCCCCAGCCCATCGACAGACAGGAGAAGAACAATGTGCTGGGTCAGTGCTCTCAGGTCAGTGCGGCTGCCCCGGGACCGGGGGGCTTAGCAGGTGGCGTAAACCCCGGGCCTGTGGAACTGTCCAGGCTGAGCCCTGGACCCCAGAGCCGATAGGCTGTGAGGAGAGCCCTGCGGAACTGGATGGGGCACAGTGGGAGCCCCAAGAGGGAGCCTGTTGCTAGGACACCCCTGCCCCACCATGTGCTACTCAGCCCGCAGCTGGCAGGGAGGTGGGGGCCCAGGTTGGGGGGCGCCTTCCCACCACGTATGCTGCCAGGTCCTGTGTGCGCACACATTGAGTGAGTATGTGTGAATGGATGTGAGTGTGTGTGTGTGTGTGTGTGTGTGTACGCGTGGACCATGCTTGGGAGCCTGGCATGGAGCTGAGGGGCTGGGGGGCTCTCCGCCTAAAGCCCAGGTCATGCCCCTTCCCTCTGGCATGGCTGCTTGCCGCCTCCCCCCCCCCCCCCCCCCGCAGGAGATGTTTGGTTTTGATTCTCTTGTGGAGGAAGATTCTGGGAAGGGAAAGGGGAAAGGGGAAAACAGATGGCCTGGGCGTGACCCCACTGCCACCTAGCGCCTGCAGGGTGCCTGCCTGGGGGCGTGGCTGTGCCTGGAGAGTCCCCCACCGTTTACTGGATGTGTAACTTTGGGCAGGTGACTCAGCCTCTCAGACCCTCGGTGTCTTCATCAGTGGTGTGGGGATGACGCCAGTTCACACGTCAGGGGGTGTCGGGATGATGATGTGGGGTGATCCTTGAGAAGCACAGAGCCTGGCTAATGGTGAATGCCCAGGGCGCTTCTCCCAGCCTCAGGGTTCTAGTCTGTAAAACGGGAATAAAGCATTGAGCCCGTGGGACTTAAGGAGCTGTCAAGAAGAACATTCTAACCTACGCCCAGGCTGCCAGCCTGGGGCACGGGGGCCACCCACAAAGGGTCTCGGGAGCCCCTGGAGGCTGTGCGTGTGTGTATATTTACGAGTGAGTGAATGAGTGTGTGTGTCAGTGTGAGTCCATAAAAGTGTGTATGAGTACATAGTGAGCTTGAGCGTGTGTGACAATGAGTCCGTGTCTACGAATGGGTGTGTGTATCTGAGTGAGTGTGTGAGTGTGGGCGTATGAGCGTGTACGTGTGAATATATTTGTGTCAGTGGGCATACATGAGAAAGCATACGTATCTGTGTGTGTGTCTGTGTGTGTACGTGTGTTTGTGTGGGTGTGAGTGTGTGAATGAATGCATTTAGGTCCCCTTTTCACTGGGGCCGGAGGTCCCAGCCTCCCCTTTCCCTGCAGCGCCCACAAAGGGCCGGTGTGGTCACCACTGACAGGAACCCCTGACACTGTGGTCGCACGAGGCACCAGCTCCCTCATCACAGTCAGGGCAATGTCTGCAAGTGTCAGAGAGGAGACCGCAGGAGCTCAGCCTCCAGGGCCCCTGCTTGGCTCTCACACAGAGGCTTACACCCATGCACACGCATGCACACACACTGATGTGCACACTCTAACCTGTGTGTGCACTGTGCAGCTCACAAGCACAGCCTGCCCGAGCACACTATCTGTGGCACTCACACGTGGGCCTGTGCAAATCATCACCACACACTTGTGGGGCTCACAGCCCCATGGTAGGGGGGAGCCACAGAGCCTGCACTTTGTGGGACTCCTCAAGGACTGTCTCTGGGGGACCGAGCGGTTTTCATCCACTAGCTCTGCCTCTGTCCCTGCTCCTCGGTCGCCTGGACTAACCTCTACTGTAAGAGAAGGTCAAGTGAGCTCAGGAGCGGAGACCAGGGCGTGTGCCTGAGGTGCCCGCCTTCCAAAGGTCACACGCCGTCTTGAAAGGGTTCATGGAGCCCAGCGGCCACCCCCATGCTGGCCACCCTTACGCCAACCTCTGTGTCATCAGAGTCCTGCCCCAGTCAGCCCCTCTGAGCTGCAGGGAACCAAGCCCCTCCCGGCATAGCAGTCTCCCTGGGTGGCCTCAGTACCCTCCTCTGTAGGGAGAGATGCCCTGAGGGGTGTCGGGGGACTCTGACGACTGGACTTTCTGTGCTCACTTTAAGTGAGAGGAAACAGAGGTCAGAGGAGGACAGGCCTGGTGGGATTTGAACCTGGCCCTCCAGCACTGTCCCTGGCGGCTCCCACCCAGGGTGGCTCAGCGGGCACCCCCAGCAGCACAGTGAGGTGTCCCTACTGCTGTGTCTGCCCCTGCAGAGGAAGGGACTGAGGCTTCCTGCTGATGAGCCCATAGAATGAACAAGTGGAGTTAAACCATCATGGGGCTCGGTGACAGGGCCAACATTCTGTGCCCCCTCTGGGGCTCCCTGAGTGTCCCCTCTGTGCTGGGCCTGAGCTGGTGAAGATGGGCAACAGCGACAAGCTAGCGTGGTCAGTGTTAGGTGGAGGGAAGGGTGTTCTAACCCCACAGAGGAACACAGGACCCCTGGAGATCAGGGAAGACCACCTGAGGGAGGGAACACTTGAACTCTCATTTTTGGATTGTTCATTGCTAGTACGTATATAGAAGTATGGCTGTTTTTTGTGTTTTGATCTTATATTCTGCTAGCTCGTTTATTAGTTCTAATCATTGTTTTGTGGGTTCTTTGAAATTGTCTGTATACATAACCATCTAATTTGTGAATAGTTTTGCTTCTTCATTTCCAATCTGGATACCTTTTATTGCTTTTTCTTGCGTAATTGCACTGGCTAGTACCTCCAGTACAAGGTTGAATAGAAGTGGCAAGAGTAGATGTCTTTGCCTTGCCCCTGCTCTTAGGGGAAAGCTTTCAGTCTTTTACCACTGAGTATGATGTTGGCTGGGGATTTTTCATCAACACCCTTTCCATGTTGAGGAAGTTTTCTCCTATTCCTGGTTTGTTGAGTGTTGCTCGTATCATGAAAAATTGTCAAGTTTTTGCCAAATGCTTTTTCTGTGTGTGTTGAGATGACCATGTGCTTTTTGTCTTTTATTTGATTAGCATGATGTATTACAATCATTGAATTGTGTTACCCTTGCATTCCCATGATAATTCCCACTCAGCGTGGTGTAGAATCCTTTTTACATGGTGCTGAATGCCATTTGCTAGTATTTTGGTGAGGCTTTCTACGTCTACAGTCATAAGGGATGTTGATCTATAGTTTTCCTGTGATGCCTTTGGCTTTGGTGTCAGAGTAATGCTGGCCTGATACAGTGAGTTCCTTTGTCTTCTGTTTTGGGAGAAGTGAATGAAGGTCTGGTGTTCATTTGAACCAATTCCTGAGGGCTGAGTTAGTTCAGTTGCAACTGGAGGCAGTGCAAACAGTGTGCACTGCAGCCTGGAGGTGGTGCTTGGTGGTTTTGGGTCTTGGATTCGGGAACCACAGGGTCTGGGTGGCACAGGTGCACGGGAGGTAGAGGGCATGAGGAGAGCCCCTGAGAAAGATCCATGGGGCCTGGATCTGGAAAGGCCAGGGGGCATGAGGAGGCCCTGGAGTCCTGGAACAAAGTGGTGATGGGAATGGCTTGTGTGGTGGGGGAGAGTGTGCTGAGTGAAGGTGATGGGGGAGGAGGTGCTGCAAGCAGGGGAAGGAACTGACACAAGTGGTGGGGGCTGCCCAGAGGTGGTGGAGAGGAGGAAGGGAGGTGGTGGCCTTGAGGGCTGAGTGTGCTGCCAGGGGAGAGATTGGCAAGGGCGCTGTGAACAAGGGCACACAGATGGGATGGAGCCTCCTGCTGCAGTGGGAAGGGGCATCGAGGGCCAGCCTGAAGTGGAGGCCAGGAAAGCAGGGAATGGTGCCCAGTGTGTAGCTGGGTGGGAGCAGCGCCCAGGCTGTCAGAGCTCCCTTATGCCATGGCTGGCCCATTGCTTGGGCAGGCTGTGTGCAGGTGGCAGGCAGAGGAGGCAGAATGCTTGGGGGGCCAGCAAGGCCATCCCAGCCTTTGGCCAGCCTGGGGGTCCCCTAGGAGGGGAGCCCCCATCTACCCAAGCAGGCGGGAGCTGCCAAGGACTGGACCTTGTACCTCCTGCAGGGAGACTCCTGCAGGGAATCCAGGGCTGGAGGCCCATGGCGGCAGATGGGTTAAGCAACTTGCCCAAGAGGGGGGCAGGAAGACCCACAGACCCACCCTGGGCCCCAGTGCCTGCGGGTCACACCCGCTTCAAGCCCACCCGCAACCCTCGGAGGCAGGGCGGCCCTCACCCCCATTTGCAGAGGCGCAGACTGAGGCTCAGGGAGCAGAAGCCCCTCTCCCAAGGGCTCTAGCCGGCCTGGAGCCCGGCCGTGTGCGCCTGCTTTGCCTCGCCCGCTTCCGGAGCCCGGGCCGCGCTGTGGACGTCCGCTTCGCGCCCCGAGCCACCGTCCCGCGTGGGCAGTTGGGGAAACTGAGGCCGCGCGGCGGCGGGCGGAGCGCCGGGTCCCCACCTGCCGCGCCCGCCCCGCCCGCGAGGGG